CCATATAAAAAGTAATAAAACCGTCCAAGGTGGAGTTCCTAAGTCAAATAGGCCCATTTGGGTCAACAACATAATCATAGCCTGATAAACTTGTACGATTACAGCCTATTTCGATGTCAATACACTTACTTTTGATACCATAATAACAGATCTAACCCCGAAATCGTGGATTTGTCATGTCACTACTTAATCTATAAGATCTTACGTGGACGTCACGTCATGGTCCAAACTGACTTGTCCTACGTGACAGTCAGCAGCACAACGTCTAGCACTTTGGAAGAACACATTCAGATTGGATCGAGAGTAAAATACTCATTACGGAAGACCAGAGGTTTCGTAAGATGACAAAGTCTGTATGGCCGAACCACGCCATTTTGATCAACTGTTGCCGCGTTCACCACCACTAATCCGCTCTCCATGTTAATTGCTGACTGAATTTTCTCAGTTATCTCATGTTCGTCTTCCAGGTTAGTGTGGTTACAACCAATACCAGTACAGGTCCACATTTATTGAAGAAGAAGGATCGACGAACTCTGCTGGAAGTCCGAATGTCGTCTCTTAAACGAGTTGGGCTGCATTGTATACAACGTTACCTTTCACTGCACTACAAATAAGGAGTAACGCCAGTGGAAGAAAGTTCACTGTGAATCGCTAGCATTTGAGAGTGGAGCTTTGAACTGTTGGTGAAGTCGTTCCACCAACATGTTAGCCTGTGAGTCGTAGGCGGTTTTTGAAATAGTTTGATTTCTAACAGTGTAGTAATAAAATGGCCCAGCCGGTGTCCACGGTTTGTAATGGTAGTTGAAGGGCCACCGAAGTTTGTAGCCTATCGTTAAACGAAGGCGCCGGCCAAAGTTTCGGCAATAATGTTATTGAAAAGGCGCTACTTCTGGCCATCTTCTAGGACGGTCTGCACAAGTGAAGATGTAAGAGTGTTCATTTGAATCTGGTGAAAGTCCTACCAAATTCAGGTGAACATGTTCGAAACGAGCGTTGAGAGTTGCGAAAGAGTCTAAGGGACATGTGTTGTGTCTAACCATCTAAGATTTCTGGCGCTCACTACCCCATGTCTTTATATATACTAGGCCGAACAAATCATTCTGAGATGAGCTTGATGGTTGCAAGAACACCTGAATGAGAAAACGTGTGCAGAGTATTGAAGACGTGTCGATAATGTTTCAGCACGATTGGACGACCCCTTCCTGTAGATGTGCGACACAGCAGTTTTAGGGTTGTCGAGGATAACTCGTGCTGAAGATCAATGTCTTCTCTCTGAAGCTGCATAAACTTAAGAAGGTCGATTCCTTGGAAACTGTTCAAGGAAGTTATACGAGACAAGGCCCCTGCCACAATATTGATTGCCACAGAAATGTGTTGTATATCTGAAGTGAACTGTGAAATGTAGTCAAGTTGTGGAGACTCTCGAGGAGAGTGCTAGCCTGAGGATGAGCTTAAAGAAAAGGTAAGAGGTTTGTGAATTTTCGAACTTGGACAGGGTGGTGAAAGTGCCTTACAGCACAATAAATAGTTAGGAGTTCCCTATTGAAAGTGCTATACCTCGATTCAGTGTCTAGCAACCGTCTCGAGAAGAATATCGAAACTTGCCAGGTGTTGTTCACCCATTGTTGTAAGTCGGATGCGTCTACTGCGATACTAATGGGTGCTCGGATGTCCTGATGTGTAATAATGGATGCATTTGCGATAGATTCATTAATTGTAGAGAATGCTGTTCTAGCAGTATTGTCCAAATTGATGGATATCGCATTTCCACGAAGTTGGTCGGTTAGCGGCTTCATAAGGGACACAATTTTGGTATGAACCGTGTATAGAAACTTTCACGGCCGTTAAATGTGCCAATTGCTTAATGGTGTCTGGTTCTGGGTCGGATGTCTTGAGCATCATCAGTGTGTCGGAAGAAACCTAGGGAGTCAGTGCCGATTCGGCATTTCTGAGTACTTACAGTTATGCCATGCATTCGAAGTCGTTCGGAAACAAGGTCTGAATGCTAGAGATGAGATTCTCTGTCCGGACTTGCAATGAAGCAGTCATCAACATACGCATGTACGAAGTTGGGACCTCGGAAAACCTGATCTATGAACCTTTGAAATGTCTGGGGAGCATTACTCAAGCCGAATCGCATGTGCGGAATCTTGTGGAGACCGAAAGAAGTGATGATAACGGTTTCGGGAGTGTCGTCAGCAGCCATGGGAATTTTGTTATATTTTTTAACCGAGTTGATTTTGAAAAAGACAGTTGTACCTTTTAAGGTAGCTGACAATTTGTGAATATGAGGTAAAGGTTATCGATCAAGAATGGTTTTTGCATTCGCATGCCTATAGTTGACAGTTGGACGTCAATCGTCGATGTACTTTCTAAGGACCATATGCAGGGGAGATGCCCATAGGGCGTTTGATGGCCTAGTGATTCCTAAATCTGTCATGTGATCGAATTCGTTTTTAGCCAATCTCGGCTTTTCAGGAGCCAGTCGGCGCGCTTTCGAGAACACAGGTGGTCCTGTAGTCATGATGTGATGTGTCACATTACTGGTTACACATGGCAGTTTCGGTTGCGTTTGATATACTGCAGGGTACCTATCGAGTATTCGTTAGTAGTATGGATCGATCATGTAACTTACCGTGACTGGAGATAAGCCACAACCGGAAAAAGAAGTTATATAAACAGATAAATTAATGTTTTCGTCTGCTGACCTCTGTTTGCGAGTATTGATAAGTAGATTGTGGTGTTGTAGCAGGTCTATACACATGACTGGCATAGAAACATCTGCAACCACAAAAATCCAATGAATGGGATTGCGTAAACCCACGTTAATGTAAACGTACATTTTAGCATATATGGCGATTGGCTTTCCATTTGCAGGCTGTAAGTTGAAAACTGATTCGCGAAGTCGGTCGTTAGTATTTGTAGGAAGAACGCTAACTTCTGCGCCAGCGTCGACGAGGTAGCGAACTTTCGTAATCATATCAGTGACGTATAGCGAGTGGCTATGTTTACCGGCTACGGTTGACGTTAACGCTTGCCGGCTAGAAAGTTCCCCGAAACGTTTATCGTGTCGGTTGGTTTGAGGCTCAGAAAATTGCAGGGTTTTATGCAATTTTATGATGACTCCCCGTACTGATCATGACACCAGCCACAGTCAGGGTTACATCTCTCGTGGTCTAGGGATAGATCGCTTTCGTGAAGAACTCCTTCACGGGGGGTTTGTGATCGTTTGAGCTCATTACGAAAGAGAAGCTAACGTGTCAGAGTATGACATAATTGCGCAACATTATTCTTTGTCGTTCGAGGTTTTTCTTTTCTGAAAAGACCTCGGCGCCAGAAGATTTGTTGATCTCTAAAATGTGGTCGACAGATGCAACCAGATTGTCTACGGCGTTGTTTTAAAACAAGATAAACACAGCTTGCACCTGTTGAGGAAGTTTGGACAAGAAAAGTTGTCTGAATAGGCCATCATCGAAAGTTCTTTTACCAATTACTTCTCTTATTCCCAACATCATGTTTGTCACAGAACCGTGTTGTCGATCGATATTATTAAGGGTTTGATCTAACATTTGTCGATCGGTTACGTCTCGTCGTTTCAAAATAGATCGTTTTAGAGTTTCGTAAGGTTCCGAAACATCACTAATAAACATACTAGGTGTGACTTGCCTGTTGAATTCTCGCGGTAGTGCATTTACTACCGTGAGGAATTGTGCACGTGTATCGTTCACGCCGTGCTCAAAGCAGTCCGCCTCTGCGTAGCAGAAACAGGTTTCGATGTTGTCCGTCTAAAAGGGTATTAGTGGAAATGAAGTAGGAATCATCGTCTAAAACTTAAGTAGTTTAGGTGTCTGTTCCGTCATACGAATATGAAGTACAGGAATGAACGTGGAAGAAAATCACAGTATATAAAAAGTAAAATAAAGCAATGGTACATAAAGTTCGAAAAAGTGAACAGATTCACAGTCCACAATTTGATGTAACAGATCACGTTGGGCTCACCAATGAAGATGTCACGAATATTTCTAGTTTGAAAACATTTATACCAGTGACACCTACTCAGTGAAATCAAAAGTCAGAAGTAAGGAGGTTAGAATATATATTTGATGGGATATCAATATATTTAGATGTAACTGGCTGACGGTTGCAGATGTTGAACACAGCATTCCCACTAGTGATCTGGTGCGGATGGATGGCTGAGCACCTTTAGCTAGGTGGGCACATTAAAACTAAACTCAAAGATGACCTCACAATGACTTACGGCGTCCTAAACTCTGCCGTGAGCTCACTTAAATACCTACTTAAGTTCAGTCCCTAAACAAACTTCGAAAGTGAAACCCAGACACAACCCAGCTGAATGGACTGCAGGGTCACCTTCGACTCTTTATAAATAGTCAAGTTACGGAAGTCGCTTTTGGCTGAGGTAGTTTAAGCGACTTTCTTAGAGCCCTTTAAGGAGACTCAGGACAGTATCTAATCATAGTTTACTGAGATTTCTCTTTTTACCTTTAAATATACCCATATTCTTACACGTAGTCATCGTTGATCTACTGCCATTAGATAAAGAAGCAAATTAGGCTGCAGTTTCTCGTATTTCATTCAGAACCATTTGTACCATCTGTTTTAACGCATCGGTCTTTACCTTTTGGCGGCTTAATATTTTGCCAACGGAACTGCTGTTATTCACCCTGTCTTTCAGCTTAATTATTCGACGTTGGTTTGTTGATATTATCCTTGTTTTCAACTATATGAACAGTTTTAGGTTGTTTTCAAAGTATTTTTTAGTCTTTAAGGATGGCAAATAGAAGTTCCCATAAGCTGGTGATACTTGGAGAATCAGCTGTTGGAAAATCAAGCATAGTCCTGAGACTCGTAAAGTGTCAGTTTAGCGAGTACCAAGAGGCTACTATTGGGGGTTGGTTTCTAATATTTGGTTTAATCGTTTAGCTGCTTATTTGACACAAACGATCGTCCTGAATGACCCACCAGCAACCGTAAAGTTCGAGATTTGGGATACTGCTGGTTAGTTGTTTTTCAGTTCTCAAATGATAAATTAGGAAGCCGATTGCTGTGTGATTGCTGAATTAGTGTATACTCTAGGGTTCTGGCAGTGTTCAGCCTGTCACTGGCACATTACGCTCCAGAAGTCGGATGGTTTGCTTTGAGGATAAGCCAAGAAACATGTTAATCGATTCCTAGTACCCTTCCGTATGTGTTTGAACCTCGACTTAGATGAGTAAATTAGGCTTAAATGTTTTCAGAAGTAGGTCACAAGAGTTAGCTGCCATTTGGGAGGTTTTTATTCATTATATATGGGGTCCTTTCTTGGCTTTTGAACAAAATTCCTGTCCTTTCAGCTTCCATATCCTGAAACAAATAGAAAATAAAAGATATATCAATTTATAGACCATAGTATTGTTATTAGATCAGTGAGGTCGTTTTGTTTCGTGACCGTTTAGTACTCTTTAGTGTCTATTCATACAGGGTAGTTTATGTATGGAGTACCATTACGCTGTCAAAGGACCGTAAAGGAGTTAAGGATAATATGAAGAGTGAGTTGTCCAAACAGTGTACTCTCCGAACCATTGCGGTGAGACTTTTCATTCGTTAACAAGGGAAAGAATTAAGTTGTCAGTGGCTCTAATTAATCTACATTATTTTCAAATATTGGAAGCATTTAACTAGAATGAAAGGCAAATAAAAATGCAGCCTTAGTTACTTGTTTATGTATGGAGTTGCTAATTTCTGCATTGCCTGTATAAGTATCATGGTTGTGATTTGTACTAACAGTTGAGTATTTCAAATCCTGATCTTTTAGAAATTAAGTAGGTCACACTGCCGCATGATTAATGATATTTATCATCAGTAGATGTATACAGTTGTATCACTTCATTACTGTAATACTAGGTTTGTGTTTTAATATTTCTGCTCACATCTGTATAGCCCACACTGATTTCTGAGGTCCTGTTTTTCCAACTGATGGCAGATGTAGTTGGTGTCAGATATTTGTAATAAGAAGGATAGTGTGACAGTGACAGCTCAGCTGGTCTACTTTCTTACCCTGTCTACCTGTCGGCGTTAGTTCTGATGAGCTACTCGTATCTTTATCTTTCTGGGAGATTTCCTTTACGCTGAACGTCTCAGGATTTCTGTTCACTAAAACAAGTTATTTGAAATCAACACAAGACGTATCTGTCTTAGCTTATCAAATCCATTATTCAAAGAAATGAGGTGAATAACGTCAAAATATGTTCTTCGTTTGCCTTCACTTGCTGCACGTAGAAACCAGACGTCAAATTATTGAAACATCCATTTTTTGATATTACGACAAAATTGAATTATCGGACTGATTCCACTATGAGGCACCGAAGCACACCTTGAAAGCCACGCTTGTTTCCCGAGTGTTAAATTTAATCGTAGAATAGTGATATGAAAGCAATCACCTTTCAGCCAGCAGGTCGTGGATCCGAACTCCACCTCATTTGTATCAATCGGGGAAAACAGGTATTACCACTGGCTTTAACATAAAGTGTAGCTTAAAGCATGGCTAAATTGTTTATGCCCGGTAAGTAGTTCTAGCTGTAGTAACTTGTTTCGGGTTAGATTTTAATACCATCAGCTTATAGTAAGTAGCTTAGTGGACTTAGGACTTGAACCTGTGACCTTACATATAGTAGTTGGCTATGTAAATAACCAAATGTTAATATCCACACATGTTTAACTAGCCATAATTTTCTGTATTGGCTATTGAAACCTAACATTTCCTTTACATTCAGGACAAGAGCGTTATCATAGTTTGGCCCCTATGTACTACAGAGGAGCCCAGGCAGCCGTTGTCGTTTACGATATTACTAACCAGAACTCATTTGAACGTGCAAAATCCTGGGTTAATGAACTTCAAGAGAAAGCAAATACTAGTGGGGTGATTGCACTTGCAGGAAACAAAGTGGATCTCGAAGGACAGCGAGCTGTTTCGTTCGAGGTAATGTGTTCAGACCCCTAACTTGCATGAGTTTTTCACCAAATTAGTACCTTAAGTATCTAAACACTGCTTACCAAAATAATTCATACGATTTTACAGGTATTTAATGTAGCGTAAGTCCATGCACATAGAGAATCTTGAGTTTGAGTACTTATACTTTCTACCCCTTTATTTCACTCCAACTATTCTCTTTAACACTAATACAATCGATCCAGTTTGTTCCGTTTATTTGCTAGTCTTCTGGTTTGTTTCGTCTCAGTATGGAGTCGATTTAAGTTTCTTGTTCTTTGGATTAAAGTTGACCTCATCTTGGAATGCTGATGTAGCGTATTTTGGCTTGGGTCGACAGTTGTACTACGTTCTATAACTTTGTTCTGCATTCAGAAGTTAGTTCCTAGTAATTAACTATGTTTGTTAGGTTCTCCCCCTTCAACTGGAATCTGTTACAGGGTCTCGATTTTTAAAATTAAATGCCACCGTGAGGCTAACGAATTGACTAGTGGCATATGTCAGTAGTGTACACTTGTGCACTTGTACACTTGTGCTTCAGGACGTAATAGTAATTGCGGAAGGCATTTGTTAACATGTGCTACCGATAAGATATCTGAGAATTAAAATTATAGTACTTTGAGGAAACTTACGTTACTGCTTTGTATCTGTAATATATGGTGTAGGGAATGAAAAGTATTCGAGTTACAGTACTCACTTGTCTTCCTAGGAATGTGCGAAATGTGACTGCAAGAAGAACAAGTCGGTGTACGTTTGCATGTTGTATATGATGAGTGACCATTCGCCAACATGAGAAATGACAAGCAAAGTATGATTATGTTGAGAAATAGCTAGGCCTGGCCGTATCAAGAAATATTGCTTAATAACGCACTCACTGACCATTCACCTAAGTCGTGAAAGATTTTATAGGTTTTCCTTGTTTGATACCTCATATGACAGAAATCAATGGTTAAAAATTATAAGTGATAAAGGGTCAGTCCTAACATCACGGTCATCTGTTATTCCTTGATGTTTTTCTCTAGTTCAATTGGAGTTCAGGAGCTTCACGCCCCACTGTATTTGGAGACTAAACGGTTCTTGAATTGATTTTGGGGCGGAAGTTCAAAAGTCATGTAGTTTATTCATAAAATTTTTTATACTCTTCAAGTTCATTATTAAGTAACTTTCCCACCTACATGTTTATTGCACCCAAGCTCATATAGTTGATAGCTGTTACAAAATAAGAAAACGTCCAAGCAGCTGTTGAAGACATAACATTTGCTGTTGGTGGTAGTAGTGGATACTAGAAAAACGTAGGTATAGGATTAAGTAGGCGAAACGTTTTTAAAAATGTAAACATCTGTCCCGTCTCATGGATTTCCACGGTCATCAAATCGCTATTATCCTTAAAAATGTGGTTCGAGCTTTTTTCATACATAACGTACATATGTTCTTCCCAGTTTCATAAATCTGGTGTTGTTCTCTTATCTTCAGGCGTGGTTTTAAAATATTCAGTCTTGTAGTTATTTAATTTGCAGAATTTCAATTGTCAAGTTTATAATCTGAAAATTTTAATGTAACTCGGAAAAGTTGTGAACACTTTTTGAGCTGTCCACTTTCTGTCAGCATTAACATGTCGGAACTGTTGTGTCGCCAAGCATACATACACGTTAGGTTTATTTTTGTTTTAGGCTTTCCTGATTCAACATACTTTACAAGCCCAGTACAACAATGTTTCAAAGAGGCTCCATTTTTTAAAGGGTTTTCTGAAGTTTGAGCTTTTAACAAGTCCTGATTTTGTTTAGTATTCTGTATTTTAAAAGTTTCTAATTAGTTTTTTGTTGTTATTTTTTAGGAAGCACAAGAATACGCCGATAAAAATAGATTACTATTTATGGAGACGTCAGCCAAGATTTCAACTAATGTCTCCGAATTATTCACTGCCATAGGTAATTTTCATAGGTTTGTGTGAAAATGTTGTATATCATGGGGTTAGATTTGCATTTTACGTATTTACTTTTGCCTGTTACCCCTCGTGACAGAGCATAGGCGGCCCACCAACATTCTCCACCCAACTGTCCTGGGCGATCTTTTCCAGTTGCTATTCATTCTTTTCATATGTGCTTCTAATTCTCGACTCAATGTGTCCGTTGGCCATCCTCTTTTCCGTTTCACTCCAGGATTCCAAGTTGGCGCTTGCTTCGTGATGTAGTTTGGTGATTTCCGTAATGTGTGTCCTTTCCGCTTCCATCGTTTTTCCCTAATTTCCTCTTCAACTAAAAGGTGGTTTGTTCTCTCCAACAGTAGGCTGTTGCTGGTGGTATCTGACCAATGGACATTGAGTCCCTTGTGTAGACAATTGTTTATGAATACTTGTACCTCTTGATGATGGTTGTGGTAGTTCTGCAAGTTTCAGCTCCGTACAGTAAAACTGTCTTAAAGTTTGTATTGAAGATTCTCATTTTGATATTGGTTGACGGTTGTTTTGAGTTCAATATGTTCAACTGTAGGAATGCTGTCCTTGCTTTGGCAGTCCTCGCCGTTACGTCCGCATCATATCCTCCGCGTTCACCAATGATGTTGCCTAGATAAGTGAAAGCCTCCATATCTTCCAGAGTCCCTCCATCAAGTGTGATTGTGTTGGTGTACTCTGTGTTGTATTTGAGGATCTTCCTTTTTACTTTGTATATGTCGAGGTCTACTGATGCAGAAGCTGCTGCCACACTGGTTGTCTTGACCTGTATTTGTTGATTTGTATAGAATAGAAGCGAATGTCCGGCGCTTTAACCGGGTTGGTGGATGTGAAGGATCCACCTAGGGGAGTTGGAAAACCCTGATTCCAAACCAATGGTGCACATGGACTCCAGTATCCTGAGGGAACAAATGGCGTACGAATCAACCGTTGATCACCGGCTACCATGGGACTGCATCTCCTCACAATGCTCCACTGCCTTGTGGATCAGACATTCAGGTCAAAGGCTCGGGGTGTGGCCCCCTAAGAAAACCATCTGCTTCAGTCTGGGCACCTGGGCAGTATCACAGCCCTCACACAAATCGAATGAGATTTGTGAGGCGCATATGTATCTGGTGCTTCCTTGTACCAATATTTATGTTTAAATAAATAAATAAATAAATGGAATAGAAGAGCTGGGTGATTTGCGAAGTGCAAATCATCTAGTTGCATCCGTATTGTCTATTGTATTCCGTGGCTCCCGTCAGGTGTAGAGGTCTTCATAATCCAGTCTATTGCCAGAAGAAAGAGAAAGGGGGGGAGTAAGCAGCCTTGTCTGACACCGGTTTACACATGGAATACATATCTCAGCTGTCCTCCATCCACCACTTTGCAATCTAGTCCGTCGTATGAATTACGGATGATAATTTTGACGATCTTCTCAGCTACTCACACCTTGGTGTCGAAAAAGGCTCCATGAGGTTCCCCCATCCACAATGTCAAACGCCTTCTCAAAGTCTATGAAGTCAGTGTATAATGACGAGTTCCATCCAATTGATTGTCTAACGATGATCCATAGGGTTTCGATTTTTTGTGTGCACGACCTATCCTTTCGGAAACCAGTCTGTTGATCTCGAATTTGAACGTCTATCGAATATTTCATTCGGTTCAGCAACACTGTTGAAAACGTTTCCTAGTACCTATAGTAGTGTGATTCCTCTGTAGTTCTCACACTTACTGAGATCCTTCTTTGGTATCTTGATGAGATATCCTTCTTTTCAGTCTGCCGGTTGTACTTGTTCTCCCTCTCAAATCTTCCTGGATAGAACGTGGAATATGTTTGCAGTTTCCTGTAAATGTGATTTCAGTGATTCGACTATTAGATTTTCAGATCCTGCTGTTTTTTCACTCTTAATTTGTCTGATGGTCACAGTTGATTCCTTCGATCGTTGGTGGAGTGACATCAATAGGCAGGTCTGTGTGTGGGGAATCGATTTCATGTGGTATTGGTGTGGCTGGTCGGTTCAAGAGCTCCAAAGTGCTTGACTCACCTGTTCCTCTGTCTTTAAATCTCAGTGATTAGCTTGTCTTCTTTGTCCTTGACTGATCGCTCTGGTTTACTAAATTTCCCTGCTAGTTTCTTCATCGTGTCATAGTTGTTTCATATTTCCTTCTGTTGTGGTTTTTTCCGCTGTCGTCGCTAGCTCTTCTACGTATTTCCGATTGTCAGCTCTAATCCTCACTTTTACCTTGTTCGATTCTGTGTATTCAGCTTATGCTTTGAATTTCTATGCTCTTGTTCGGCTGTTGTTAATTGCTGTCTTTTTATCCTTCCCTTCTTAAGTCTTGTCCAAGGTTTCGTTAGAGATCCATTCCTTATGATGATGGTGCTTGCTGTCAAGAACTTATTGACACGTTGAAGTTAGTGTTTCTTTGATCCCTTTCCAGTTGTCCTCCGTCGTGGTTTCTTTCAGTAGATCTTGTAAGCCTTGGAAATGGTTGTTTAGAGCTTTCTTGAATTCGTCGAGTTTGTTAGTATCTTGTTGGAAGACTGTATTGAATCTTTGTATTGCTGTTCCTCCAGTTGCCCAGTGCTTCTTTAGCTTCAGTTTCATCTCAACAATCACTAGATGGTGATCTGAAGCTATGTCAGCTGCTCTCCTAGTTCTCACGTCTTCCATTGTCCTTCGGAATTTTTTGTTGATACAAATATCTATCTGGTTCTCTGTAGTGTGATCTGGTGAAATCTATGTAGCTTTGTGTATGCGTTTGTGTGGGAAGATAGTGCCACCTATAACCATTTTGTTGCGTGCACATAGATGTGCAAATCTATCACCATTCTCGTTCCTTTCTCTCAGTCAGTCCATTTCGTCCCATGATATCTTCATAACCGGTGTTGTCCATTACGACTTTGGCGTTTAGATCTCCCATGAGGATGTTCAGGTCCTTTCCTGGGCAATTCACTATGGTCGATTGCAGCACCTCGTAGAACTCATCTTTATCGTCTTCGTTGTTATCATTGGTGAGTGCATAACATTGGATAACATACATTGTGATTCCCTTCTTCTTTCTTTTGAAAGACGCTTTGATGATTCTGGATCCACAAGATTCCCATCGTATAAATGCTTCACGTGCTTATTTGGACAGCATCAGAGCAACTCCCTGAGTGTGTGGAGCATTTTCCTTTCCGTTACCAGAGTATGATAGCATCTCCCCAATCTAATCGTTTTCGTTCAGCTTGGGTCCAATCGGTTTCACTGATTTCGAGCACCGTCAAGTTGTACCTCCTCATTTCCGCAGCTAATTGATTGGTCCTTCCGGTCTCCCACATTGTCCGAATATCCCATGTACTTATATTAATTGTTTCTGTGGTTGTTAGAAGAAGCATAAACCTCGTGACTTCCGAAGAGTCTCGGTTTCCACCATGAGGTGTCATAATTTTCTTGTGAAAGAATATCGTTCAACTCGGACACAGAGTTTAAATTGTTTATTCTGATCGGCATATTGTTAGCAAGGTTGTTTTCATCGGTATTGAGTTGCTTACCCCATGCCCAACCCTCCTTTACTCGGACTTGTGACTGTCAGTAACCCTATAAGTGTGACAGGTGTAGTTTGATTCCCATTTACATCAGTTTAGTTTGCTCAAGCTTAATATCACGGTTAAAAAATGCACAATTTTGATTTTAGCTGAAATTTAAGTAGTGGAATTTATAAACTGGTTACTGATTATTCGATAAAACGCTTAATCTAGTACTGATAAAGATGTTTACAGAAAATTTGAACAACGTTTGGATATTATCTCTTTTTACACATAGTTTTGATATCGATCAATGATCTGCTTTTAGACAGGTTATTTTAATCTTTTCCCATTATTTTCTTTAAAGTTTTCCGTTGTCTTTTCAGTCGATATTCTTTTCCTTATATTGTCGCTGAGCATGATTAGTTTAGTAGTTGAAGGGATGAACTTTCACTAGACTTCTGGTTCGAACGTAACAGCACTGTCTCGAGTTTGAGGGGCCGGATAATATTGTTAACTATCGATAATAATATGTAACTGAATGTCAAGGTTACGAAGATCCACATGAATATAGTGTTTCCGTGAAGTTTCGGTGAATAACAGTTTCATCTCATTTGTAATGTATTATTTTTCCAATATCAGATGTTAAACTGAGGTATATTTTTGATCCTCTAGGGTTTTATGATTCCCTTAATGTTTCGACATTCATATGGCATTAATCTTGACTCGAACTAATCACATTTTTGCTATTGATGTTTTGGTTATAGATGATTTAGACAATTACTTCAAGAACATTTAGCAGTCGAAAGTAAAGTGCATTATAAGCTAAGGTTGAGTTTTTAAGATGCCTCAATAGAGGAATTTTGTGCAGCAAATTACAACATTTTGTTTGTATGTTAGTCTCACTTTGATAAATGATTCCATTTTAAATCAGTGTGACTTATCTCCCCTTGTAAACTTGCTTGTAATCCTTGGTTTATTTTAGCTCGGGAATTACTTAGTCATGCAGAGCCATCTAGACCTTCTGGGGGACAACAGCTTACGCCAAACGATTCGCCTACACAACAAAGACAGTGTTGTAGATAGTCCTGATTCATCCACTCAATATTTTCCTATTACGTGGGTATATCACATGTTTTTCCAATCCTCCAGTCTTTAATGTCATTATCTTGCGTGTTCAGTCTCTTTCAACTAATGATTTTGCTTTGTAGTCATATTGGTCACATTTTTACGCATACGGGTTGCTGTAATTTCTGTTGAAGAAGTTAATTGACCTTCAGATCTCGAATCAAACTGTCACATGCTATATTATTTTTACCCAGTATGCTAAATACTTCCTTACTTGCATCGGATTTACATAACTATGGGTCATACAAATTTTTAATCTACATTATTGTTTAATGATTTATTGGAGCCGTTTGTGTAACTAAAATATATCGTTTTTCTCTCCTCGATAAAATGCTTACGACCTTCATTCCACTCGTCCACTCATGAATATAATTGTACTATGTTGTTATTTTACTTCATATGTTTGATCATCGAATCATCCAACTATATCCTTCTCACGCTCTCCATATATATATATATATATATATATATATATATATATATATATATATATATATATATATGCTGAAATTCAATTATTTCTAGGATTCAGTTTTGAGCAAAAATATATTAAAAGCTCCATTAACCTTATGATTTAATGATTTGTTTTTTATCTCTTCTATGCGCAATCTTCTGTAAAATAATATCGTGTTGCCCATTTTGTTGTATTGTTTTTGATTTCAACCAGTTGGCGCGGTTGCTAACTTACAAGCCTTTTAATTTATTTCGACAAGGTTTGAGTATTTGATTTGTATGAATTTATTTGACTGTTGTGTTATTTAAAGTAGATCAGAAATATGATGTTGATGTGTAGTCTTTTGGCTCACACTGCAACAAAGTTCTCCCTTAAAATGGTTTTCTGTTTTTTAACTAAATGTTTCATTCTATGTCAAATATTCTTTATGATTTGTTGGGTTTTTTAAACCCCAGTGCATGATCTCAGGTTGCTACACTTGACGATGCAGAAAGTTAACAAGAAAAGGAATGTATTACAATCAAGACAAAAATCGCAGGCGTGATTAGAGCAGTAAGTTAGTTATACCAGAGGTTCACCTGCTTCATTTGATCCTTCATTTATTTATTTATTTAAACGCATAAACATTAGTACTGCAAGAAACCATATATATGTATGCGCCGCACTTCATCCGGTTTGTGTAGGGGCTGGAATACTGCTCGAGCGCCCAAACCGAAGCAGGTGTTTTACTTAAGGGGCCACTTCTCGAACCTTTGACTTAGAAGTCTAGTCGACAAGGCAGGGGAGAAACGTTCGGAGGTGCAGTCCTAACAATTGGTTCATACTCCATCTGTTCCCTTAAGATCCTGGAACCCATATGCATCATTGGTTTAGAATCAAGGTTTTCCAACTCCCGTAGGTGGACCCTACGTGTTCACCCACCCGGTTAAAGCGCCAGACATTCACATTTTGTCCTCCGAATTTCGTAAATAACACCCCTTTCGCGAGCGGGTAGTGATAAGAATATCCCTGGAAGTGACTGATCTTTAAAGGTCTATTTAAAGTCAGTCAGCAAATTGTGATATCAAATATCTGGTTTTCACCAACCAAGACGTTTTCATTCTATACGATCAAATTCGTCAACCAATTACTTCAAAAGTTATTCGCATCTCGGTTACTTCTGGAAGTTGTCGTCGTATTTGTTTTTCAAGGATAGTATTACACGTCAAATTAATGCTCTTAGTTGGCATATGGTAATTATATATGTAGTTATTTGTATTTAACCTGGACACAACTTCCATTTCGTGGGTATGATAGAACACCCTAATCTTAAAACACGACTGAGCTAAACACTGAAAAGGTTTCAGTGTGGAGGTGGTATTCGTCAATAGAGAGCACCAGACAGATTTTTCGTCCTTGTAATAACTAATCACAAAACCTTCAATAGGTATTCGGATTTACGCTGTAGGGTTTGCTGTATTGTGACACCAACAAAACTTGTTGTTCGGTGAAGGTCTTTGTTTCAGTTATTCATTTAGTATCTGTTTTATATGTTAAGGAATGAAATCTGTCAGTTTGTTGGCGTTTGCTGATTATGAATAGGTTTGCTCGGTCCTACCGTTTGGTCTCAACTTTAATGGATTTCCTTTTTTCCCTAAAGTTTTGGTGGTCTTTATTAGGCTGGTTAATTTGATTTATGAGAACTATTGTGCATTATAAAATACGTAGATAAATAGGTTTGATAAAGCGATTGGTTTATAGACCCAAAATGATATAATTTCAACCCATATAGCGATTATCAAGCACTTAATTTGGTTTCGATCCTCGCTGTTCATGTAAGGATTATTGATGCTATCTCACTGAACGAACGAAAGTATTGAGATGAACGTTCTGACGTACGACCTCCTGGTTGGAAGCTTGGTAATTTAATACTTCTTATGTTTGCTACTATAAGGTTGTTGATCTAACTCCAGAAAGCTACCGTTCGAGATTGTTTGACAGTGGTCAGTAAGCCAGACTACTCGTATTTCATATAAGTAATGAGATTGAAGAGAATAGCTAAACCAACATACAACTCAAGATATCAACAATATTTTAGTCAACAGGCAAACAAAAAAGTGTATTCTTTTAGAGTCAAGCTAAATGCTCAGTAGTACATAAAATAAGGTTACTAAACACTGCATAACTGTTAAACTAACGAGTACATACATCAATTTCTGAAAATGGTATAGATAACTTAAAATTAAGGGCCCATCTTCACTAAATCAATATACATCTAAACTTCGTAGACTGTTGTATTCAAGTCTCTAATTTTGAATTACCTTGGTAAATTCATATTGACCTCACTGCATCATTATTATGTTTTCACATTTTTGAAACCTGATATTCATCCATTTATTCATTCTAACCGTAATGTTTTCAAAGTAGCATTTATCAACTGAACTTTTGTAATGCTGCAGAATCGATCCTTTTATTATCATTATTCTTCACATTACAAGTCGTTTTGACGCCTTGTTTTCAATTATTTCTTCACTAGATAGTTTTTTCCTATAGTTATTCGAGCTTCAGTATTTTTTTCTGGATTCTCATAGATTTTACTTATGTCACTTTTACTTCATTCTTCTCAGCACAGATATAGAAGGCTCGTCTAGCTTTCGCCAACTTGCGTCATTTATGGCGTAGGCGAGATATCCGTCTAGCAATCAAAGGACGGGTTTACTGAGCAGCAGTTCATCCCGTCCTACTTTATGGCAGTGAAACATGGCCAATAAGAGTAGAGGATATTCGTAGGCTTCTAGTGTTCGATCATAGGTGTCTTCGAAGCATTGCTCGTATATCCTGAGACCACCGGGTAAGTAATGCAGTTGTTAGGAAACGAGTACTAGGTAGGGATGGCAAATCGATTGATGAAGTAGTGAAACTTCATCAGTTGAGATGGCTGGGACATGTGTTACGTATGCCCGACCACCGACTGCCCCGACGTGCGATGTTTCATGGTGTAGGAGTAGGTTGGAAGAAAGCTAGGGGTGGCCAGACCAAAACATGGCACAAATGGATGAAGTCACTGTCAAGTGGACTGAGCAATGTTGGTAGGTGTAGACTACCTGGTTGGAATTCGCGAGATGATAGCAATCGATGGTTAGAGACCTTGAATGACATGGCTCAAAATCGTTTGCAATGGCGAAGGTGCATCCACTCTTTGTGTTCTACCAAATTCTAATCTTCTGAATTCCTCATGTCTTTATCTTTTTCTCTTTCCAAATTTACTTCACTGGATTATACTCCTTCAATAACATCTTCAAACCCTAATTTTTCACATAATGCTTATACTCTTACTACTTTTACCACTATGGGATTTGAATCGACAACTGCATGTCTGTGCTAATGTGGTATGGCAACTCGAACTGATGTACGTACGTACGAGGTTCTACGTTATGACTGACTCATTCTTCTATATCTAAATTAATTCATTTCGACCTTTGACTCTTTCTTTTTTACTTTGATAATTTCTTAATTAATTCCATCTTATTACTAGTCATTGAATGCACTTTTCATTTATATATTTATTATTCTATATTTTTCTTATAAATTAAAACGACTGTTCATATGACATAATCAGCCGATACTAATAAACTAACATTAGGCTAGTTATTGATTATTTTAGTGACCAAAATATGCTATTGATGTTCATTATCAAATGAAAAACCATTGAATGTAGATTGATTATATATGTCTTACTTATATAACAGTAATTATAGCTGACTTTTAAATTATTGTAAACGGAAATTAACTTAATCATTAGATATATATTTATCTACGAAACGATGGACGTCTGTACACAAACTGTTTTTTTTCTTTAAAATGTAGATTAGAATACGAGGGGATTTAACTTATTCCTCGTTTTTGATGAAATGTATGCATGTGACTTCCAGAAAAGAATGATTCCAATAATTTTATACCTTGGAGTGAAGTTTAAGGTAAAAGTAGGGTATAAAGCATTAGGGAGAAAGAAATTACTTGTGCTTCCTTAAGTCTTATATTTCATAACATTTAGTGTTGGTGCTATAGAGTATCAAAGCAAGTAAATCATAAAAATTGATATTATAATTTTGTATGAAAAATGAAATATAAAGATGTCATGGGATCCGTAAACCCTGAAAAGTGATGATACCGGTAGTATATAAGTGTAAATGTGACTGAAACACGAAGTGAAGTACTATGCGTATACAAGTAAGCACCAAAAGTGAGTCAGATAATTTCATTCTATAGATATCAGTAATAGACTTGGTCAAAATAAAGTAGTATCTTCCCCTGTGGTGTTTTAACTTATTGAAATAACTATATTTTGTATTGACTGATTTAGTGGGAAACGCTAATAAAGTCTTAGGGAACCTAGATAAATAAGCTTCCAAATAATAGTTGTCTTTTCAGCAACTTTGCGGCGAGACTATAATTTATGGACGGACCAGATTTAGGATAACAGGTCTTGGGTTTTGGCTTGGAATCCATTTGCCTAAATAGAGTTTTGGTATTTTAGCTGATGTCAATTCCTTACTGTAACCGTCAACTGTAAATCATAATCCTTACTCTTCACACAGGTTTATAAACCTAATTTAGCCTTAGTAAGTAGGTGGATATTCTCAAGGCCACTTTAGCGTTGCTCAAAGGTTATCCATAAATTATAGTCTCACCCTAATTTATATTCTAATAAGAAAACCTACGTGGTGAATATATATCTTCGGCTAACAGAAGATGAGAATAGAACTTGTTAATTAAAATAGAAGTCTAAGATAGTCGGCGAAGCAAACGGTCAGTAATTTGAATCCATTTTTATAAATCATCCATACTGTCGACTCTACCCACTACTTAGATACTATTTGAAAAAATAGAAAATGCCTTGACCACTAGAAAATTACAGCGTTTGTGAATAAAATCGAAAAAAGTCTTGGTGGCTAAAAAGATGACTACTCATTTGTAGATCCTTTGAGAAAGTAAACGATAACTCACGGCTGTTGGGTTTAACCCTCCCACCACC